ACATGTGAGCTATCTAAGAAAGGGTGTATGAATCTAAATCTCAGAAGTCCAGCAGATTTCTGGAAATATGTCAGAGCTAGTGGGAGCATAAGTTTTATGCTGATAATCATCATGTTAGTGGGAGCATGATTATTACATTTAGTATTGCAAGTTAGCAATGTTAATTATAGAAAACAAAGTTTCAATTCGTGAAGTTGCAGGGGTTGAAAAGTTGTTTTGCTATAATTAAGGGAGAGGAAATTATACTTCATTTCAATTCTAAAGCTTAGATTGAGATTTTAATCATCTTTAGTCAAGGACATATATATGAATTTTATGTCTGAATGGTTCGACTTAAGGAAATTCTATATATATTGCGTTCTCAAAATTCAATTATGACTACGGCATCCCTTTTCATAGTTAAATTTTGAAAACATGGCAAATAAAAAATATTGTAGCAAAAGACTGATCTAGTATTATGTCTTTATATGAGACATCATGAATCGGTTCCCATATGCTTCGGATATAGGATCGATTTCATGTGCTATAATATTCATCCTTTCTAAATTTTCAAATGCTCAGGGCATTTAGAAGGAAAAAGTCTAGAACTGGATATGACTAAAGTGATTAAGCAATTGTCGAGGACAATCTGAGGTTTGCCAAAGATTGGTTGCTCAGGGATATTTGGAAGTATAGTGTTAATTTTGGCAGGACCATATTGACATTTTCTGAAAAGAGGTAACTCTTGTTCGGAAGTGATAGTCAAAATGGGACTATGGAAATGTCTCCATAGGTGGAAGTTATTCAATCTATGTAAGATTAGAAAACCTTAATGCAAGAAGGATGTTAAAAGCAATGTACTTTGAATATGAGACTTCCGTTCCATAGAAGTTGACCTTCTTTGGAATACTCTGTAATGACTGGTGATAAGGTTTTGGTGACTTTGTGAATAATCATTACAAGAGGAACATTGCATAAAAGTTTTAAATCTAACATATTTTTGGTAAATGATAGGAATCGGGGATTCTCACATTTACAATAAGGATTTGGGATTGTGAAATGAGTATCATTGGAATCATGTTCAATTGATCTACATCACAATGTAAGGATCATAGAAAAACATAGTGTGCATACTTGGAGTATGGCATAACTATTGTTTCGAAAAACAAAGTGTACATGCTAGGAGCATGGGACGACTGTTGTTTTATTCGAAGTCTTAAGTTGATTGTTTGAAACATTATACAATGAATAATGTGTAATCAATATGGTGATAAATAAAAGGTGGTTCTATTTATATTCAAAAGGGTTCTGAGACCATATTGGATTCGATTATTATTGTGTTTCACTTTGCATGTTTTGACTTCAAAAATAGCTAGGTTATTCTTTCCGAATGACTAAGTTATTTAAACACTCCACAGTCGTTCATATGTTGGAAGTAAGTATGAATCAAGATTGTCATGAATCGATTTTGTAGATGGCTAAATGGGTTTAGTCATAGCAACGGTTGCTACAACATTCATGAGTGCTCATAAGTTATGAGTATTGGAATAAACCCACGCTCACTTGCATCACTTCATGGAATTTATCTCGAGTGATCGTGAGACGGTAATATCATATAAATCTTCAAACCTAGAGATATGAGTTGTTACCTATGAGTTGGTTGTGCATTGATTGCACGTAAACACATCAGTAACTTGATGTTATAAAACATGCCTTTATGTACAATTCAACAAGTAGTAGAACAAGCATATGAGTCAAAGTTTATCTGTTCCTTCTAGAAATAGGAGCGATATCTGGGACCCTCGATGATTTTGTTGTGACCTATATACCGGCCGGTTAGAACTAAATTGATGTGTTCAATTAATTTCTTTGTCAAACAAATCGAAAATCGGGAAACAAACTGCTGGATAATAAGTATGACGTTGTTCCATGTATTTTTCCGGTTGATATCATGAGAACAGAGGATTATATGATCACTTATCTAAAATGGCGCTTCATAGTTCAACAGAGTTTTCGAGAGCTACGATTGCTGGTTGGTTCCTGAAGTAACATACGCAAATATAGTTATCAGACTTATCCAAGTGGGAATCTGTTGGATAAGGTGTCTAAGTCCATAACTTATTTGGTATATACTTGACCCGACCCGACATGGTCCATTTAGGTTGCATTTCATCCAAACTATTTATGGATAATTTTATGAGAGTTATACACATATGATTATTAATATATTATAAGTTATAATATATTAATATGAAGTCATGTTATTTAATTAGTCTTAGTCTTAAATTAATTATGAATTAATTTAGAGATTAAAAGGAAGACTAATTAGATTGTGGGCTATTGGTTTTATATGGTGTGGGCTAACACTCATTTGTTAATGGGCTAGGCTTGTATGGAAGTCCATGGATGATCCATGGAGCTTTTAACCCATGGATCCTTGGAAAAGGAAAGGTCATGGGTTATCAGGGTTTCACCCTAATCATGTACACTATATAAGCATGCTTATGTTGCATGAAATAGCCACTAGTGTAACTAGTATGTGTGTTTGTGTGTGGACGATTTTATAAGTGTGTATACACTCTCTCAAAGTTTTCCAAGAGTTTGTAGTGATTTGTGATTCCATTTGAGGCATTCACACTATTGGTGCTTGGCCCTCAAACTCCTTAGGAATCAAACTCATCATCAAAAGGTATGTAATCTCAACTAATTCTTTTATGTTTAAAAGTACCCCATGCCATGTTAGATAGGTTATGAACCTTGGGAAAAATTATTATTTTGCATGTATTTAGACAAACATAGATCCAAGGTTTATTAGGGTTGCATACACACTTAGGAAGTGTTAGATTGCTCAAAACCCAACATCTTTTGTGTGAATTCTTAGTTTATTTGGTAAAAATGGGTTAGATCTTAGCAAATCTCGAAATTTTAAGTAATATTAAGCAAAGATCTATGAACTATGACATTATATACATCACATTATCAAGCCAAAAGTGATTACATGTTTAAGATACAAAAGATTTCAACAAAAACCTTGTTAAAGATAAAAAATTGTTAAGAAAACAAAAGATAAGGGCAAAAAGTGACATTTATATTTTTATAGGGACCAAACAGGTCCTACTTGTCTAAAAAGGGATTTTTATGATAAACATACTGTCCAAAGGACCAAGAATGTAAATTTTGGCTTAATGGGCCAAAATTTTGGGCCTCACAATTTTGGGCCCAAAATTGCGAAAAAAAAGGTTTTGGGGATTAAAATGTAAATTGGCCAAAGTTTGAATCATAAACGTAAATATGCCAAATTTTGGGGTAAAATAACGCATATTCCAAAATTGGACAAAAAATGTAACTTTTATCAAAGATTTGGCCGAAAGTGACAACTTTTACAAACAAGAGGCTGAAAATGCAATTTTCTGCAAAACTAGGCAATAAATGTCAAAATATAAAATTTTGGATTAAATTTGTGAGTTTCTAAACATTTGGGACAACATTGCAAATTTTTATAAATTATGGACTAAAATGTCATTTTTACAAAACTTTGGGCCTTAATTGAAAATTTGTAGGATTATTGGCCAGAAATGTCATTTTTACAAAAAGAAAGCTTCTTATCATCAATCTAGTAAACGTCGAGCTAAAACAAACAACAAAACAAAACAAATGAACGAAAAACGTCGATAACTATTTATTGGACCTAATATTCATGTTACTTGGCCATTGGGCCCTAAGGGCCTATTTAAGTGTATATTGGGCACAATGTTTTCCATGACGTGTTTATCGGGCCTTGCGACTCACTTACATGTTAATTTAGGCCTAAGCTATAAATTACATGTTTATTGGGCTCTTGTGGCCCATTTATATGCCTATTAGGCCTAAATTACCCTCTTACATGTTATTGGGCCTTTGTGGTCTAATTAAATGCTAATAGGGTTTGAAATGGAAATTTCACATGCTAGTAGATTGTAACTGTACTTTTGCATAATCATTAAACTTCGTATACTTATATATGTACCTTTCGAATACAAAAACATATCACATATACGTAAACATTAAACATAGTACAAAAATGGGTTGAGAATCTAGTGATACATGTCGGTTGGCACTTCTGAGTGTACAATCGTAGCTTGTAGTTATAATCAGAGTTTCTAGGTAGGAAAGCGGGAGTTTGTGTATAGATCTATACGGGATGACCCCTCACGCCTTAGCTGTTCGCTACAGCTAGACTAGGCCAGTCTAGGGCGACAAAATTTTGGGCAATATCGGCATTTGGAAAAAAAATACCAAGACGGGCAACCTAGTCATTATCATGTATGGTTATAACGACTCATAGGGATTCAATACCAAAAATCTAACCTTTCGAAGATAAACTCTTCGATTGTATCAATGCAAAACGACTTATTTAATGATACAAGAATCTAGACATTGTTATAAAACAAAAAATATCGGATTTTTTGGGGAAATTATTCATATACATTTATCATTTATTCATAATGCAATGAATCTAAACTACACTCATATAATTTATAACTATGAAATTCACACATGCATTTATACTTGATGTTTACATATTTTCAGACAATTTACAAAAAATATCGGATTTTCTTGGTTTTTACAAAAGATACAAAGGCTTTTATTCAACCATACTTATGAACTCACCAACATTATATATGTTGACCGTTTTCAAAATAACTTGTATTTTTAGGTAACCGTTAAGCAGGAAGGATTTGCAAGAATGTATGAAATTATTTTGTGTAACATAATCTATTGTACTTTTAAAAACTTGAAACTATGTAACTTATAACAATGTACTTGATGTGAACAATGCTAGTTGTTATATGTAATGCTGGTGATGAATGTGTTATGCTTTATGTTGTTGAATTATTATTAAAAGAGTTACATTTTTGCATCATGTAATCTACTTCTATCTTTTTTAGATAGATAATCTTGGATTTCACATATAATCTTACACATTCGAATGTGTATTACAAGAAACTATCACCAAGATCACAACATACAACATTAATTTTGCTTGAGAGCCAAGTCAGCTAATTACAAATCATACATATATAACAAATAGATATGTTAGCTCAATTACTTGCTATCGCCCTTCCATCATGGATAGAGTGACTGTATTTCTAGAACACATGTTCTTGAATTCCTGACCAATGCCATTGGTACTAGACAACCTTTGTAAAGTAAATAATGGCATTTTTGGCTCTGGGAGATGAGTTTCACTGCATAACATAGACACTGCTTCTGTCATTGTTGGCCTATCCTCAGCCAAATCCTGAACACAAAGAAGTCCCACGTGTATGCATCTCAAACCTTCTGTTGACACTCCTAATGTCTCATCGATCAATTCTACTCCTTGCCCTTCATTCCATGACTTCCATGCCTGAAAGAATAAACGAGAATAATCACACACACACACAAAAAGATATAATATTTAATATGGTTCGATTAATGTGACTTACGTCCACACATGAGATAATATTCTTATTCATGAGCTTGGAACCGATATTATTTCACAAATAAAACCCTAGAGCCGTTATATATAGTCAAAGTACAAACGTAAACCCAAAATAGAACCGGGTCGGGCCAATCTACAACTCTCAAGTCACATTTAACGGTATGTATTCTGTTATATGTAAATGGGAGAAGTTATGTGGTATGGTTTTGTGCGTTAAATTTTATACTTACGTGTTCGAGTGGATAGATTTGTTCGTTATGTATGAATTCGGTATTCCTTTTACCACTTATAATCTCCAATAGCATTACTCCATAACTAAATACATCCGATTTCTCTGAAATTACTCCTCTCATGGCGTATTCAGGAGACATATAGCCACTGCATTTCATAATATAAAAAGCCGATTGTTAGAATGTTCTCAAGAATCACAAATCTACATGTGAAATGAATGATTCTCACTATGTTCCAACAATCCTGCGAGTATTTGCTAGCTCTTGTGTTATTTGAAAAGTACGTGCCAATCCAAAATCTGATATCTTGGGATTCATTTTGTCATCTAGTAGAATATTGCTACATTTCAAATCCCTATGTATGATCCTTAAACTAGAATCCCGATGGAGATAAATAAGTCCACGACCAATTCCTTGAATGATGTTGAAACGAGTCGCCCAATCAAGTTGCATACGTTTCTTTGGATCTATTTCATACATAATACAAGTTATTTCTAAATTATGATGATTTTACAAGTGAAAATGAAAAGTGATCAATCCATTCAAACTGACCAAATAGAAAGGTGTCCAAGCTTTTGTTTATCATGTACTCATAAATCAATGATCTTTCTTTCCCTTCAAAGCAGCAACCCAAAAGTTTAACAAGATTCCTGTGTTGGAGCTTAGAAATCAACACGATTTCATTCTTAAACTCTTCAAATCCTTGCCCAGAATGACCTGACAGCCTTTTCACTGCTATCTGCTGTCCATTATCTAACATTCCCTATTTTAATCATTTATGAAAGTAGTTAGTGCTGGTTTTGTGTCAATTAATTGCTTGGAAAATATGCAAATAAAGAAGTTTGTAAATACTAGTTTATTACCTTATAAACAGCACCGAATCCTCCTTCACCAAGTTTGTTTCTGTAGCTAAAGTTTTCGGTGGCAGCTATTATTTGTTGGAACTTATATATAGGCAATTCATAAGACTCCTTGCTAAGCTCATCTTCTTGTAGCGTATCCTTTAAGACAATATGATCCTCCGAACTTAAGTGATTCAACTTTGTTTTCTTTCCTACAAAGATAAATTTTTGACACACAAATTAATAAGATATCTAAAATTAAATTAGAAATGGGTTCTTTTGACAACAAACATTCTTTTGGCTGTGCTTTAGACTAAGAGCAGCAACCATTGAATAAATTGTTTTTCTTAACTATCTCATGGTAAAAGTATCTGGATAATCATAAATCGTATCTTCTTACCCTTTTTATTTTTTTTCCACTTGTATAAACACAATATGAAACCACCTAAGGCAAGTACACCACCTATGGCTGAGATACTGATGGCAACTGCTACTGCTGCTCCTTTTGTTTCTTCACCTATAAACATGTGTTAATAGTTATAAAGAAGTAAAAAAAAATCTACAAAAATCAAGAATTTGAATTTACCTGATTCCTCAAAGGCAAGGCGCAAGAAAAGATTCTCCCCACCAAATGAAAACTTCTCGATATCAATAAGCTCTTGTTCCCAAATCATGCAGTTTATCCCTTCCACAAAAGCATACGCCTTACAAGAACAGTTACCCAAACACAAGCTCTTGCAATCATCCGTATCCATGTAAGGAAAGTATTGATAATAATCTGGGAGCTTGATCCCACTTACCACCTGAAACTTATCCGGTTTACTTTTTCCAGAAGCCAAAATACTTTCATTCTTCTCACACAAAAGTTCATTTCGTCTCACACAACCCCTAGTCCAATTACTTATACTCCATTCATCTTTTGACTGTGGTACAAACCCTTTTAAGCACTCACAAATACGAGTCTTGTTTGTACAAATTGAAAAAACACCACAAACTCCATAAACATCACAAGGATTCGCAGGTGCTTCCCACCTAAACTCCCATATGTTACGAACATCATCCAAGGAATTCAACTCCAACACACCATTATCTCTTAAATAAAGCCATCTGATATCTGATGAGCTATGAATGTTAATGCTGATGTATGCTCCTCCTTGTGAGTTCTCAGGCATGAGAGTCATTAGATTCGAGTAGCCAGCCTCAAGCTCTGGTATCCCTATAAACTTTCCTCCATCCCATGGCCCACTTCTCCAATACGGTTTTGAACCACGCCATGTGAAAGCCTGTGGTGGCTGCTCTTCCGAAAGCCCAACTACAAAATCTCCAAGTGTTGGATCATTATCACTTTTCCATGATGTCAACAAATCTTTCCCTTGTGTTTTCCCATTCGTCCCAACTCTCATGCCTGGTAATAGAGTGTTACCAGGATAGTCAAAACTTTCCCACAAAGTCAACCCTGAGATGGTATCGTTAAGAGCAAAACATCCTGTGTCTGTAAGCTTTGCGATTGTTTCGTTTGACTGGACTTTTATGCTTGTTGACCAAACAGTCTTTTGGTCATCATCTAGGATTCTCAGGTTCCCATTGTTGCCAATTGTGAGGGTGGGATTGGTGTCGGAAACTGAGATTGGATTTTGTCTGTTTGCAACCCATATAAATTTTCTTGGGAGAATATTTTTGAACCATATACCGAGATATCGGTTACTTGAATTACTTGGACTGAAGAACCCTAGCTCAAAGACTTGATTGGAAGAGACAAGAGTCTGCTGTAATGAGATTGGACTTACTTTAGTCAATATATCAGTTGACTTGCAGTGTTGTAGTGAAATAATCAGGATATACAAGCATGTCATGCATATACAGTTTACAAAAGTGGCTCTTGTAGTAGCCATACCCTTTTGCAGATTAAGTCTTTAGAATTAGGAAAATTTACAATCTATCAATTTAGCATGATGATCATATTTAATCTAAAGCCAAGTCTTTCATTTGTAGGTCGGTGCTCTTTTCATATTGTGATAAACACTTGACTTTTTCTGATCGAAATCTGATATTTCACAATATGACATGGTCTCTCTTTTAAAGAAATCAAGACTAATATCCGGATAGCTATACTTTATCTACTTTGATGCCAACCACAATATATAAAAAAGTGATATATTGTACTGAGGGTTAGTACTTAGTAGTACAATTAATCATAGATCCGGTCAAAACCACATAAAGTCAATATTATGAAAGTAAACATGGTTTTGATCCTCTACCTGCTATTGATCTTGAATTTATAGGTCAAAATCATGAATCATAGCTTAAGATGTTACATGGTGCAAGGTATTAACTCTAGTATTAATGTAGGTTAGTCACATTCGGAAACGAGTATCAGTTGTGCTCATCATCGAAGTAATTATAAATGTTTGGTTGGATGGAAATGGAATGGAACGATTGAATGAATGGATTGGACTAGGTAACGATGGAAGTCATTAAATTCCATGATGATCATGTTTGTTTTAGGATTAGTATGAATTTTCATATAAATTATTTTTATTTATATGTTAATAAAATGTATATTTTTAACTCTATTATCATGTAATTACTGTTAATGAACGAGTCATTAAATTCCATGATCAAGAAAGTTATGACAAAAACGTGTTTTTCTAGTTATTTTTGAAAAAAATGTAATTTAATTAAAATCATGAAATGTAAAAAAAATTCCTTTTAAAAATGGGTTATCATGCAAATTTTCATCCCATTGCACATCTCTATGAAGAATAGCATATTCCATTCCATTCCATTCATCGTTGGTCTCATTCCAATCAATTTTTTTCTTCGTTAATTGAGCAATTTTTTTTAATTAAATTAAATTTATATAGTGAGGTCAGTTTAGTCGTTTAGTTGAAGTATAAATAGGATGTTAGTGTTCACTACATGGATCGAGCCCTACGCAGACGACAATTAAGGACTCTGTACCGACGACGTGTCGTCGGTAATGTTTATAACGACGACATGACGTCTATAAAAAATCGTCGGCATAGCTCCGTTGGTAAAAGTTGAAAATGTTGTCGGGACAGGGGTCGTTGGTATAGAATAACCAATCCAGACGATATGTCGTCGGTATAGGATCGTCGGGATTGATTTTCGAGGAAATAAGAAAAAGTTTTATTCGGAACTTATATCGACAACTTGTCGTCTAGACAAGGATAACGTTATACCGACGACTTGTCTTCGGGGAAAGTATGATCAATACCGACGCCTTGTCGTTGGAAAAAAGAGGCGCAACTAACTTCCATTCTAAAAGTACGTTGCTATTAATAAGCTAATTAAGCTAAAGTTGTAATGACCAACATTAAGTCATTAACAAAAATAAAGCACTTTGAAATCATATTAGGCACTTTACAATACAAACAACAACATCTAAATACAAAAAACTATAACTTATCAATTAAGATATTTTTCACTTCATCTTATATACACTCAAACTACTAAACATAAATATCATATAATCATACATATATACAATACATTCAATTCTAATTTTCATTTCATTTTAAATATACAATACAAATTTATACATCTAAATACAAAATCAAACATCATACAAAATCAAAATCAAAATCAAACATACAATTCCAATTTTCATCCAATTGCATACAATCATACCTTATAGCACCTTACATTTTAGACATCAAATTTCAATTTCATACAAATGTATACATCTACATAAAAAATCAAACATCATTCTTAATTTCACTTTCATGCTAATACACCACAATGAGATAAACAAATTATGCCTAACTTCATTTTTATTTTCATGCCAAAACACAAACTCAAAGTCCGGGAAGAGGATATTCCAAAAACCGCTTTCCGAACTCGTTACGGACATTATGAATTTGTCGTAATGCCCTTCGGTCTAACGAATGCCCCCGCCGCATTTATGGACCTAATGAATCGAATCTGCCGACCGTTTCTCGACAACTTTGTCATTGTTTTTATCGATGACATCCTTGTCTATTCTCGAAACAAGGAAGAGCATGGCCAACATCTCCGACAAGTCTTAGAAACTCTACGATCAGAAAAACTATATGCCAAACTCTCCAAGTGTGAGTTCTGGCTGCGGAGCGTGAACTTCCTAGGCCATGTAGTCAGCCGAGATGGAATCCATGTGGATCCCTCTAAGGTCAAAGCGGTAGAAGGTTGGGCAATCCCGACAACGCCCACGGAAATTCGTCAATTCTTGGGATTAGCAGGCTACTATAGGAGATTCATTCAAAACTTCTCTAAGATCGCCAAGCCACTTACCTCGCTTACGCAAAAGGGCGTACCATTCAAATGGACAGACAAACAAGAAATCGCATTTCGAACCTTGAAGCAAGCTCTCTGTAGCGCACCTGTACTATCTCTACCTGAAGGAACGGAAGACTTTGTAGTCTACTGCGACGCATCAAATCAGGGTTTAGGTTGCGTCCTCATGCAACGTGGGAGAGTGATAGCCTATGCATCCCGCCAGCTAAAGACGCATGAAGTAAACTACACAACCTATGACCTAGAGTTGGGAGCTGTAGTCTTTGCCCTAAAAATTTGGAGGCATTACCTTTACGGTACAAAGTGCACCATCTTCACGGATCACAAGAGTCTCCAACACATCTTAAACCAAAAGGAGTTAAACATGAGGCAACGAAGATGGGTTGAGTTGCTAAACGACTATGAGTGCGAGATTAAGTACCACCCAGGCAAGGCCAACGTAGTAGCTGATGCATTAAGTCGGAAGGAGTACTCTAACCGCCGTACGAAAACTCTCTCGATAACCATTCAATCTCACCTGGCCACTCAACTTGCAGTAGCCCAGTCAGAGGCCATGAAGACGGAAAATAGAGCTAGCGAGGCGTTGCGCGGGATGGAAAAGAACCTAGAAACAAGGGAGAATGGGGTATACTACTTCATGAACCGTATTTGGGTCCCTAAACTTGGAGGGCTTAGAGATGTTGTCATGAAGGAAGCCCACAAGACGCGATACTCCATTCACCCCGGTTCTGATAAGATGTATTTGGATATTAAACAACACTATTGGTGGCCTAACATGAAGGCGGAAATCGCGACCTACGTCAGTAAGTGCCTTACATGCGCCAAAGTAAAGGTGGAATACCAGAAACCTTCAGGATTGTTGCAGCAACCGGAAATTCCCGAGTGGAAATGGGAGGGGATTTCTATGGATTTCGTCACCAAACTACCCAAGACGTCGGACGGACTGGATACCATATGGGTAATCATCGATAGACTGACGAAATCTGCCCATTTCCTGCCAATCAAAGAATCTTACAAGATGGAGAGACTGACGCGGTTGTACTTACGAGAAATCGTGAGACTCCATGGAGTGCCAAAATCTATTATCTCGGATAGGGACAGTAGGTTTACGTCCTGATTTTGGCAATCACTCCATAAGGCGATGGGAACAACCCTCGATATGAGAATCGCTTATCATCCTCAAACGGATGGTCAAAGTGAGCGAACTATCCAAACACTCGAAGATATGCTCCGTGCATGCGTGATAGACTTTGGAAAGTCTTGGGATACCCACCTACCCTTAATAGAGTTCTCATACAACAATAGTTAACACTCGAGCATCAAGGTGGCTCCTTTCGAAGCACTTTACGGGCGTAAATGTAGATCACCGTTATGTTGGGCTGAAGTAGGTGACACCCAGCTAGCAAAAATGCATGCGTCGGACAAAGCACTAACGGGACCGGAGATCATCCGTGAAACCACGGAAAAGATCGTTCAAATCAGAGCTCGATTGCAAGCATCGCGTGACCGACAAAAGAGCTACGCTGACAAACGACGAAAGCCCTTAGAATTTCAGGTCGGTGATCGAGTACTGTTAAAAGTCTCGCCCTGGAAAGGGGTTATACGTTTCGGAAAACGGGGAAAGCTGAACCCGCGATACATTGGACCTTTCGAAATCGTCGCTCGAATTGGTCCAGTAGCATACAGACTGCAACTACCCGCAGAGCTAAACGGTGTACACCCCGTGTTTCACGTATCTAATCTGAAGAAGTGTCTCTCAGATGAAACACTCGTCACTCCTCTTGACGAAATCGAAATCAATGAGAAACTCCTGTTCGTTGAAGAACCAATCGAAATCATGGACAGGGAGGTAAAGCGTACTAAGCAGAGTCGCATCCCGATCGTGAAAGTACGGTGGAACGCAAAGCGTGGGCCAGAATTCACTTGGGAGCGCGAAGACCAAATGAAGCAAAAGTACCCTCACCTATTCTAGCTTTCTCAAATCTAGCTTTCAAACAGAATTTCGGGACGAAATTCCCTCTAACGGGGGGATGATGTCACAACTGGAAATTTTGTGTCATGTAATCTATACATTCAAGCTAATGTGAATCAAAAACTTCAATCAAATACATTATACAAGTACTACAAATAGTCATCAAACAATTGGAAAACCCTAGAAGTTCTTGTTAAGTCCATTTTGGACTAGAACTTCCTTATTGGATCCAAATGGACCAATAAGCTTCCAATTGGACTATCATGGGCTTAGAACCCTAATTGGGCTCTAATTGGACCCACATTCATTTATTTCAATATTTTGGGCTAGGTTGAACCTAGAATGAAATAAATTAATGACTATGAACCATAATTAACCTAATTTGACCCTAACAAGTCATAAAAATCACATTTAAATTGATTTGGACCAAAAATCACCCAACTTAACCATGAAAAATTGGGCTTAAGTATTAAGGCCCAAACACCCTCATTTCCTCCATTATTTTCGGCCCAAAAGCTCAAGCCCAAGAGGAGGGTTGACCTTAGTGTGCCACCTCATTATTGCCCATAGGTTTTCCATGCAAATCCATTCCATGTATCCATGCACATCACCTCATGTCTATATCTC